TGTCTCCCTGTGCATAAGCAGCCCTTCTTTCTCCCATGATTGTTCTCTCCAAGGAGTGTATCTACTTGAGGTAAATGTTCAACTCATATGCTTGTCTTTTGTTTGGCTGGAAACCACAGGTGTGGGTTCAATTCCAGACCTGAAGGGCAGCCAGGGACCACAGTCTCAGTGGTCCCACCAGGCTCTAAGAATATAGATATTCTTAAAAGGGCATGATGCTCAAGGCAGATATTTTGTTCCAGTTACACTAAATTACTGTTTGATTTTTTTAAAAATTTTTTTGTTGTGATTTGGGTGAAAGTTTACAGAGCAAATTCATTGTCTATACAGCAGTTCATACACATTTTGGTTCATGACATTGACTGCAATTCTCCACAATGTAACAGCTCTCTTCCCACTGCCTCCCCATAGTTACTTCTTCCCTGTGTCCTTCCCTCCCATGCACTCCTGCCCCCCTGAGCCTTCTCCCTGTGCAAACATTGCCCTTCTGTTCCCCCACAATTGATTGATCACTCCAGGGGAGTTTATCTACCTGATGTAAGTGTTCACCCCCCATGCCTGTCTATTGTTTGGCTGGGAAGCCACAGGAGTGAATTCAGTTCCAGATCAGAAAGGTAACTAGGAGCCATAGTCTCAGGGGTCTCACCAGGCTCTATCAGACCAGCAAACCTGGTCTTTTTATTGTTTTTTTATTATTATCATTATTATTATTTTTTATTTTTGCAATGTTCCCTCCCCTCCTCTCCCATCCCTGGTAACCAACAAAGAAAGTTGCCTTCCATATATAAACCTTTCCTTGACCTTGTACAATAATGAACTAATACAATATTTGTTCTTCTGTGATTGACTTATTTCATTCAGCATAATGTCCTCCAAGTTCATCCACGTTATACGATGTTTTGCAGATTCTATGTTATTCTTTAATGTTGCATAATATTCCATTCTGTGTATGTACCATAGTTTGGTTATCCATTCTTCTGTTGATAGGAACCTAGGTTTCCATCTTTTTGCTATTGGACATAGTGCTGCGATGAACATGGGTGTGCATATATCTGTTCTTGTCCTGGCTTTCACTTCTTTAGGATGTATGCCTAGTAATTGCTGGATCAAATGATATGTCTAATTCTCACTTTTTAAGGAATCACCATACTGCTTTCCACAGTGGTTGTATCATTTGACAGTCCCACCAGCAGTGTATGAGAGTCCCGATCTCTTCATATCCTCTCCAGCACTTGTTATTTCCTGTCTTGTTGAACTTTGCTTTCAGTGCTGGGGCAAGATGGTATCTCCTCAGAAACCCAAAAGGGGGTAACTATGAGTTGGAATTGATTCGATGGCAGTGAGTTGTTTTTTTTTTTTTTTTCCCAATGGCTAATGAATGTGAACATTTCTTGATGTGTTTGTTGGGCACCTGAATATCCTCTTTGGTGAAGTGTCTATTCTTGTCTTCTGACCATTTTTTAATTGGTTGTTTGTCTTTTTGTTGTTGATGTGTTGGAGTTTTCTATAAATTTTAGAGATAAGTCTCTCATCAGATATGTTGTTGCCAAATATTTTTTTCCCAATCTATAGGTTCTCTTTTGATTCCTTTGGAGAAGTCTTTTGAAGCACATAAAAATTTAATTTTGAGAAGGTCCCATTTATCTAGTTTATCTTCTACTGTTGGTACATTTTGGGTTATACTTGACACTCTATTTATGCTACAAATTAAAAGAAATAAATAAAATAACCACTGCCATCAAGTAAATTCCAACTCATAGAAACTCCCATTGGGTTTCCAAAGCAATAAATCTTTATAGAAGTAGATTGCCCAGTCTTCCTTCTGTGGAGTTGCTGGTGGCTTTGAACCACCAACCTTCTGGTTAGCAGTTAGATGCCTTAGGCACTGTGCTACCAGAGCTCCTTATGCCATAAATTAGAGCTCCTAAATTTGCCCTTATTTTTTCCTTGAGGAACTTTATAGTTTTAGGTTTCACATTTAAGTCTTTGATCCATCTGGAGTTAGTCTTTGTGTGTGGTGTGAGGTACAGATCTTGTTTCATTTTTCTGCAAATGGATCTCCAGTTTTGCCAGCACCATTTGTTAAAGAGACCATCCCTTTCCCATTGAATTGATTTCAGCCCTTTGTCAAAAATCAGGGTCTCTTTCTGGGTTCTCAATTCTGTTCCACTGCTCTGTCCCTCTGTCATACCAATACCAGGCTGTTTTGACTACTGTGGTTGTATAGTAGGTTTTAAGATCCAGGAGTGTGAGACCTCCTACTTTGTTCTTCTTCTTCTGAGGTCTCTTTCCTTTTCATATAAAATTAGTGACTGTTTTTTCCATATCCTTAAAGAATGTTGATGGGATCTGGATTGGGATTGCATTGAATGTATAGATTATTTTGGGTAGAATGTTCAATCTTAATATCCACAAGTATGGTATGTTCTTCCATTTATGTAGATCTCTTATGGTTTCTTAAAGTAGTGCTTCGTAGTTTTCTTTGTACAGGTCTTTTGTGTCCCTGGTAAGATTTATTCCCAAGTATTTTATTTTTTTGGTAGCTGTTGTAAATGGTATTGATTTCCTTATTTCTTTTCCAGCAATCCCTTTGTTGCTGTAATGGAATCCAACTGATTTTTGTATTTTGATATTGTATCCTGCCACTATGCTCAATCTCTCAATTAGTTCCAGTAGATTTTTTGCTGAGTCTCTTGGGCTTTTCTATATATAGGATCATATCATTAGCAAATAAGGATAGTTTTCCTTCTTTACCAATTTTGATGCCTTTGATTTCCCTTTCTTGCCTT